TTGAGCCCATTGTTGCAGCCACTATCTCAGTCCACCTCATTGAGGGTCTTCTTTTTTTTTGCTGACCCTCTACTTTACCAAGCATAATGTCCTTCTCCAGGGACTGATCCCTCCTGATAACATGTCCAAATATGTGAAAAGCAGTCTCTCCATCCTTGCTTTTAAGGAGCATTCTGGTTGTACTTCTTCCAAGACAGATTTGTTCTTTCTTTTGACAGTCCATGGTATATTCAATATTCTTCATCAACACCACAATTCAAAGGCATCAATTCTTCTTCAGTCTTCCTTATTCATTGTCCGGCTTTCACGTGCATATGAGGTGATTGAAAACACCATGGCTTGGTCTGGCACACCTTAGTCTTCAAGGTGACATCTTTGCTTTTCAACACTTTAAAGAGGTCTTTTGCAGCAGATTTTCCCATTGCAATGCATCTTTTGATTTCTTGACAGCTGCTTCCATGGGGGTTGATTGTGGAAGTAACTACACTATGTGTTGTGAAATGGTCCATACCCTGAAGCAAAGTAATAAGAAATACAAAACTTGTTCTCACCTTCTAAGGGTTTAAGTATAGAATCAGAAATAGGATATATATTTATAAAACATTTTTGTAATAATTTCCTTACCACCTAGCATAGTGCCTGGTATGTTGTAGGTTCTCAAACATTATTGAATGAATGAATGTATAGGTGAGTGCTACAGCCTGCAAATGCACTAAGGGTTTAGAGAGATGACAGATCATTGAGGGCTGGAGCAACAGAGAAGATTTTTAACTGGATCTTGAAGAAGGACTCAAGTTTGAATAGGTGAGGGATGGAGTTAAGAATGAACATGGTATGCCCAAGGGATAATGAACAAACTAGGGTAAGATAAGACCAGGAATTTTGTGTGAGGGGGTGTGGGGGTGATGGTGAGGGATTAGACTGTCAGTATGCTCCCTTGTTAATTTAAGTTTAAGGGAAGGGACTATGGCTTTTTATGTTTTTAGCAGAGTCTAGCATGTAGGAGAGACTCCATTAGTATTTGTTGACCACTTAAGTGACAGACAGACTGACTGACTGGCTGGCTTGTAGAAAACTGCAAGGGCTAGCTCCGAGAGCTTTCTTTGGGCAATAAAATTGATTGTAAAAATGGTGTGGGGGAGGTGTCTGACCTCCTCCACTCCAACAAGGAGGAAGGAGAACCAAGATCAACAGCCCAAGGCCAATTCCTATGAGGTGGAGGTCAGACATGCCTCTTCTCTCCACCATCTCTACCAATTCTGACACCAACTCTCCCTCCCACAGCACTCTCTACTGGGTTCGATAATTCATTGCAATGGCCACACAGAACTCACAGACCATACTCATAATTATGGGGTTTATTAGGGAAGTAACAGTTACAATTCAGGCTCAAGGACACTCAGGATATACTTCTTGCATCAGGATAGCCTCTCTCCAGCTGTGGTTGCAGGCATGCCTCGCCCTCACCCTCAGTCTCTGCCCAAAGGCACTCAACTTTGTCTCTTCATAGGCTGAAAAGCCCAACCCACTGTCTCCTGCTGCTGGGTCTCTCCTGCTGGTCTCTCCTTCCTGGGTGGTGAACTCCTCCTCTCTGCTCTGGAATTGTTTTTTTTTTTTTTTAAGACAAAATGGAACAGTCCCCTTGGTGGGCCAAAATTATCTTATTTGCACCGCCCGACCCAATCACCTCTGTTGGAGTCACAAGACCATGGCTAGAAAAGCCAAAAGTAATTAATCACACTGCACTGATGTTTTAGGAAAATCCAGCCTCACTTGGAGTATAGAATGTCAGATGTGATGGAAAGGAATCAAATGCCATTAGGAAGTTCTTGCAGATAATAGGAGGCTAGGAGAGAAATCTAGGGGCTGTGGTGGTGCAATGGTTAAGCACTTGGCTGCTAACTGAAAGTTTGGTGGTTTGACTCCACCAGCAGCTCCACGAAAGAAAAGACCTGGCAATCTGCTCCTATAAAGATTACAGCCTAGGAAACCCTATGGGGCAGTTCTACTCTGTCCTATATGGTCATTATGAGTTGGAATCAACTCTATGGCACACAGCAACAACATGAGAAAACGGACAAGTGGGGTCTGGTTGGGAATTAAAAGGACGATCGTTTTAGGAGATACTGTGAAGAAAAAATAGCTGAGAGTTAAGCTTCCCTTTTTCACTCTGTCTCAGGTCAGGTTCCCTAGATCAAATCCTGACATGAGGATTTCTGTGCACGGGACTTAGTGAGAGAATGATCTCAGGTGAAACCTATAAGGGAGTAAGGGAAGCAGCACAGAGCAGAGGAAGAAGCTCAGCAAAGCTCTGAGTTCAGTTGAAGTCTATTGCAGTGTGAATGACACCGCAGTGTTATCCCTCCTTGGGGCACAAGGACTGGCCTTTTTGTTCCCCAATCAATCAGACATTGGCTCTGGGCTGTGTCTCTGGTAGGAAGAAGGAGATCATAACCTAATAGGCATTTCCTGATGAGATGCATGGCTCCCTCCAGCCCAGGGAAATTCTCAGGAGAAGGGTACAACTTGAGATGTTAGCAGTCAGGACTCACTGGAGTCTGGGTGCACTAACCTGGTAAAGGGAGTCTTAATGGTGTACCAACAATGTCTACTACAGTCTGCTGTAGTCTATTCTTCATATAGCACGCTGCTGAGAACCTTCCAATAGCTTTTCATCACATTCAGAATAAAACCCAATCCCTTTATCCTGGCCTACACAATCTGGCCCTTCTCTACCTCTTCTATCCAAACTTACTTAATTTTTTTTTCTCAAACATGTCAAGCTCATCTCACCTCAAAACCTTTGTGCTTAGTTTCACTCTGCCTGACTACTTTTCCCTTCAGATTAATATACTCTAGATCTTGATAATACCAAAACCAAACCCATTGCTGCCGACTCGGTTCTGACTCATAGCAACCCTATAGGACAGAGTAGAACTGCCCCATAGAGTTTCCAAGGAGCGACTGGTAGATTCGAACTACCAATTTTTTAGTTAGTAGCTGAGGTCTTAACCACTGTGCCACGAGGGCTCTGAGCTTGATAATCGGTTGGATTTCAAGGAGCTAACATTATGAGTGACTTCATTCACTGTGTTAGGTACTTTTACATACAAGATATTATTTAATCCTTATAAGATGTAAAGTTAGGCCCACTAGCTGCCTTGAAAACCCTCTATGGAGCAGTTCTACTCTGCACACATGGGGTCACCATGAGTCAGAATCGACGCCATGGCAACTAACAACAACAATCTGAGATTTAGGGAAGTATAACTCATCCAGGGTCACTAAGTAGCAAAGTTGGAATTCAAACCTAGATATGTTGAAAGCAGAGTTCATACCCTTTCTACTATTCAAAAGCATTTAGGGGGCATCCAGATTGTGGTTAAACTCCCATCAAACTGCAAGAATTCATTAACTGCCAGCTCACTTTTCTGATTCTAATTTTTATCAACTTCAGTTTACAGAATGACAAAATATAGAAATTTATTTCTGTTTAAACAAAACATTTTTTTCTATATTCTTAAAATCACATCTATATTCTTAAAATCTTTTAGTTTTTAATTTATTCTGTAAGTTTTGTTCATAGTTCTGCCCACTTGTATATGTGTTTGTGTGAGAGAAAGAATGAGAAAGGGAGAGAGTGAGTTTTTGAACATTTAATGTAGCTGTTCTGAGACTTGAAGGTTATTTACTTATATTTCATATCAGTGTGAGCAGCTTTTATGTAAAGTACTATTTATAGGTCAAAGAGGCAATGCTTCTTTCAAGATAAGTGCTAAGAGAGAACGGTTATTTGGAAATTTGGGCAAATAAATGCAGCTATTTTCAGTTATATGTAAATAAAATTATGCTTTGCTCGTTAGGACAAATACAGAGCAGATGAGGGAGGGATTATTGTATTTTTATAATTTATGTGAAAAGAATATATAATCTAAGACAAAATTGAATGCACAAATAAAATAAATAGCTCAGGTGCAAATAATTTATTTATGAAATGAAAACTCTTGAAAAGAGTGTATTGCTGACAGCAGCTTAATATGCAATATACCACGCTCTTGTTCTTACCCTTACATTTTCAAAGTCATACATAGTAATTTAGTTGCACTCCCATTAATATTAGTGGGAGTTCTGAAACAAATTCCTGCACATGTCTTTGAAAATGTATGGGTCAAAGTAAACTGTTAATGAAAAACCATTTTTTATTTTTAGTGAAATAGCTTGAATCTCTCATGAAGGATGTCCTAGAAGACACCTTCATTCTAGTCACAGGAGAAGAATTATAGTATAAAGTTACTATTTGGAGGTTGTCATCTTTAACGTGACCAAAAACAAAAAACAAAAAAAATAAACCCATTGCTGTTGAGTCTATTCTGACTCATTGTGACCCTATAGGACAGAATACAACTGCCCCATAGGGTTTCCAAGGCTGTAGATCTTTATGGAAGCAGACTGCCACATCTTTCTCCTGTGGAGCAGCTGGTGGGGTTGAACCACTGACCTTTGGGTTAGCAGCTGAGCGCTTAACCACTGTGCCACCAGGGCTTCTCTTTAAGGTGACATGGATAAGAAATCATATTAAAAAGAAAACAGTATTCCCCCAACCCTAAAGAACACAAAAGTTCAGAAATCATGTTGTTTTATAGTAAGCAAAGGACATTGGACCGTTTCGATGGGTGAGAAGCTGGGTGCATCTGATCATTGATAGAGGCATGCTAAGGTGAATTTTAATTAGGACTAAATTGTGGTATTACTCTTTCATACCCCGAACATCTGTTCCCTTCAGAAATGATGATTTATGCAGGCTATCAGTGCAGACAGCTTGCTACAGCTTATGTCACGGTTAGTGGGAAGCTGGTGGTGGCATTTCAGAAAACCAGCATCTAAATGGAGACTGGCCAGCGTATATGATATAGGTGAGGGAGGAGGGGAAGCAGAATGTGTCCATTTTTAATTTTGAAGCCAAATATTGACTTGGTTTTTTGAAAAAAATTATCTTCTAGACCATCTGTTGTTAATGAAGAAAGTAACTTGGACAATGAATGGGCTGATGCTTCCTACTGAAGTCAAAAGACGGAAAACCAAGACTGTTCTTTCTATTAGAATGAAGAAACTTACTGAGAAGACCTCAATCCGAATTCTGTTTTTTCAGAATGGCATGGGGCAGGATGGGCATGAGATTACAGTGGGAAAGGAAACAATGAAAAAGGTAATTTTGTGTTCATTATTGAAGTATGAATTAAATTTCAAAGTTTTTATGGCTTTTTAAAATGCAGTCGATTTAGACGTATGGTTTTCTTTCCTTTCTAAATACCGCTGTCAATTAATATCCTGTGAAATGTTGAGAAGGCATTATATAGAACTCAAAACTCAGCTGTTCAGAAGTGTGCTTATTGCACTAAGAACATAAATGACAATAGCACTGCTGAGATATTTCTGGAAATTATTTGGCTAACATAGCTGGCAATTTACCTAGTTAAAAGTTATGTTTATGTAGAGCTGAACATTCTAGTTTGTTACAGTATTTTATAAGATATTTAGACTGAAGCCGACCTAACCTAGCTACAAATCTCAAATCTGCCTGCTTCCATGTAGAGTAGTATTAAGACCTAAAAGCATCCCTGCTCCTTGAAAGAATAAGCAAAGTCAAAAACAATTAAAATTCAGTTTAAAAGTATCCATATAAATTTAAAAAAATGAATCTGCATTGACCTAAGAAAAATCATGTGATAATCAAGTAAGCTTTTAAAAAGAAATGTAAAAGTATTTCTTGTCATATGAATGCGTTTTTAAGATGGTGCTTGCACTTCCTACCTATTAAAAAAAAAGGAGGAACTAATGGGAATTTGAAAAAAACAAAACAAAAACTTTTTACAGAGAAAGATTTTGAACCAATCTTAAAGAAGTTTCATAATAATAAATAATAACTAAAATTTATTAAAGATGTATTAGTGAGAGAGCAAAACATAACCAAACTCTCTAGGTTGGAATCCTGGCTTCACCATTCACTAGCTGTGAGACCTTGGACAGCGTAGCTTCTCTGAGTTTCAGTATCTTCACCTGAAAAATAGGGGTAACAATAATGCCTACCTCCTAGAGTTGTTATGTGTATTAAATGTGATATTATTCATAAAGTACAATGCACAGCACCTGAAAGTTCTCAATAAATGTTTACAATTCTTACCTTTAGGACTGATAAATACATTTCTACTAGTTAGAAAATATATTTCTTATTATTGAGAAACATTTATCATGAAATCAAGATAGATGTAAATTATTTTTGTTATACTAGACTTTGTCAAATTGAATATTACTTGAAACAAGTGAATAGTTGACAAGATATTTGAAATTTCTGTTGTAAAAATATCTACTTATGTATATATTTATTTGAATGATTTTTTTTAATAACCACAAATAGGTAAGAGCATTTACTGAGAATCTGGGAAACCCAGGTTTTATTTCCTTCTTATCTGCAGATTTGGATTATGAGTAAAACAAGGGATATTACATACCAGAGCAAATTGCTAAGGCAAGTTGTAACATCTTCCCTGGAGATTTTGAGAAATAGAGAAGATGGACATATCTCTTGGATTGTTAAAATGCAGTCATTCTTAGAGATAGAAGCTAGATTAGATAAGCTCTTGAGTTCACTTCAGTTCAACCTCTGTAATTCTATGCCTCTGTGATAAAATTGAGGTAACAGTCACTCTTACAGATTACATGTTCTTAGATGAAAGGTTGAGTGTAAATAAAAATGTGACTGCTATTTTGCTTTTTGACTCTAGAAAGCAATTTATTTAAAACTGGCTTATCAAAGAAGTCTTAGCTTTTTTTTTTTGTTTTTCTTACAATTTGTAGACTTAAAGAATTTTTAGTTTGTAAAACTCATGATAAGATTTGATTCAGTAATAAATGTATTTGTAAATATTCGTCTAAGTATCACAGTATCACTTTTAAGAATGAGGTAAAGGAGAAGAGGTGCCCGAATGCTGATTTTTGGTTGTCAGTAAGAACTTTTTGGAAGGGAAAAATAAGGTAGCTAATTATTTTGGAAATAAAGTTTAAAATTTGAAAGCTTTGTTGATAATCCCAAGATAAGGCCCAGTTTCTAGACTTAATACCAAGTAAGTGGATTATAAAGGTGGCATAGTCACAGGAGAAATGCAAATTATTTTCTCTTTTATGATAAAAATTAGGAATGTTAGGGACTAATAGCTATTTTTGGAGCCCTGGTGGTGCAGTGGTTAAGAGCTTGGCTGCTATCCAAAAGGTTAACAGTTCGAATCCACCAGCTGCTCCTTGGAAACCCTGTGGGACAGTTCTCCTCTGTCCTGTAGGGTTGCTGTGAGTCAGAATTGATTCGATGGCAATGAGGTTAATAGCTATTTTTAGGTTATTACTAAATAATGTAAAACTGAGGTAGAATGTTAAGGACTCTGATATGATGAAGGTTATCACAGTGGGATAAGCAGAGAATTATTGACAATAGGTAGTAAAATAAGATAGCTACAATATAAAAGTCCTCCCTGAGCTCAGAATGGAGCCAAGGGGAAAGAACTGTATTATAATCATAAGTGGGAAATCAAAAGGAAATCCATGTATTTATTTTATGAAGTTAAGTAATGAAGAAATTTGAAATGAGGGCAAAGTGATGCATTTTTTCACTAAACTCTGGAATGCTACAACTGTGGCACATCCCTTTGAAACTTAAATTAGATGGTTTTAGGTTTACTTTGAATGTTTTTAGTAATCACACAGCACTTGCTACTCTGTGATATAAGCTAAACATATATATCCATGAGTTGAAAAACGTGTTAAGAAAAATTTGTGGGCGCAAGATACAAAGTTAATGGGAATTGAAGAAGGCCTGCTACAGATATATAGCTTTTTAAGGTTAGCACTGTGGTGGACAAGTTTTATTCTTACCCAAATATCTTTGGGAATTATTGTCAGAGAAGTGGCATTAAACTGTGAGGATTATTGTAAAATCCAGGATAGCATCTCCTTGTTGAAAAACATTTTGTTTTCTCAGTAGTTCACAATTATATATTTATTCATTCATTTGTTTTTGCATGGTTTTCTATGTACTATCACGCATGGGCATGAAATTACAGTGGGGAAGAAAACAATGAAACAGGATAAGAAATGAATGAAATGATTAAAAAGACCACAGTCATCTTGCTCCAGTTTGAACTGATTGCTTGCTCCCTGTGCTGTCTATCCTGGGATTGCCCATCACCATCAACCTGGGAAATATCTTTCCCTCTCTCCAGTGCTGGATCCTTCTTTGCTAGTTCCCTAGTCTCCCTCTTTCTTCACTTACTCTATTATACACATATTCCAATGGTTTCCTAAGAAAGAGAACATGGGAAGTATATTTTTTGAGATCTTGGGAAATCATTTTTTTCCTTCTGTAATTATAAAGATATTGCTCCAAATGCCTTTTTGTCTCCATTGTTGTTGAGAAGTCTGATACCATACTGATTCCTTATCCATTGTAGATGACCTGCTTTTCATTTTTCCTCTCCGAAAATTTTTAGAATTATCTCTTTGTTCCCAGTGTTCAAAAGTTTTTCCAAGGTGTGCTTCATACTCAGAATGTCTTTTCAGTCTGAAAAGTCTCATCCTCTTCTGGGAAGTTTTCATGAATTATTTCTTTGCTAATACGATTATCCTCAACTTTCTCTGTTTGGATTTTATGGAACTGCTACTATTTAGATGTTTGATCTCCTGAACTAAACTCCTAATTATCTTAACTGGGAGATTTCCTTATCTTTATCTTCCAACCCAATGAATTTTTCACGTCTTCTCCCTGCACTCTCTTTTCCTCTAGGTAGTTGTTTTTCTTTGTCTTTTATGTTAGAGTCTTTCCTTAAATATGTGTTAATCCATTATTAATATTTAAAAGTGAACAACTATAAAACTGATTGAAAAGTAAGTGAGCACAGATGTGTCTTGCTGAATGATGGGTTTCATTGGAGAGTGGTTTGACTAGACTTTTTCTTTAAGGGAACCCCTAATCAACAGTGTCATGGATTGAATTGTGTCCCCCAAAAATATCTGTCAACTTGGCTAGGCCATGATTCCCAGTATTTTGTGATTATCCACCATTTTGTCATCTGGTGTGATTTTTCTATGTGTTGTAAATCCTATCACTATGATGTTAATGAGATGGATTAGCAGCAGTTATGTTGGTGAGATCTACAAGATTAGATTGTGTCTTAAGCCAGTCACTTTTGAGATATAAGAGAAAGTAGTGAGCAGAGAGACAGGGGGACTTCATACTACCAAGAAAGCAACACTGAGAGCACAGTGCATCCTTTGGACCTGGGGTCCCTGTGCCTGAGAAGCTCCTAGACCAAGGGAAGATTGATGACAAGGACCTTCCTCCAGAGCCGACAGAAAGAGAAAGGCTTCCCTTGGAGCTGGAACCCTGACTTTGAACTTCTAGCCTACTAGACTGTAAGAGAATAAATTGCTTTTTGTTAAAGCCATCTGCTTGTGGTATTTCTGTTTTAGCAGCACTAGATGACTAAGACAAATAGTGTCTGTAGTTCTTTTCTCTGGGGCTTGTCAGTTTCACCAGATGGAATCTGCCAATCTGAGCATTCTAGTAGCCAAAGTGGAGAGATGGGCTTGGGGGCTCACTTTTCTATAAGCTACCCTCATCCTCAGCTCTGCCTGGTTCCTCTGGTTCTAGAGTTTCTCTGGTTTAGCCTTTCCAGAGAACAAATCTGTCTTCTTATCTCACAGAAGAGGTGGTGTTGCCCAGATGCTTGGTGTGGGGGGAGGAGTTACAGAGGTTTAACTGCTTTTTGTAGAAATGTTCAGCTTCTTTTCAGCCTTATTTTTAGAGGTACATAATGGCTCAAATTCCTAAGCCTTTCTGGGTTTTGCAAGACAAATCAAATTTACTTCTGCTAGCTTAAGTTTCAACTTTTTCTGGTGCTAAAAGATATACCACTTAATTATCTGCCTCTGGCTTCCAGAATTTTTGTTACTGTTTTCTCTTCTCTGGTTCTTTTTTTTTTTTTAATGGCAAGTGTCAATATTTTATTTAATATTAATAAATCTAATTTTTTAGAAAGAAAATAATAATTCTAGTATTCTCTTCCTCCCCTAATGAATTCCTGTTCTTCACAATGTTATCCATAATTTGTTATGATCCACAAAATCAAATGCCTTTGCATAGTCAATAACACACAGATA